GGAAACATGAGTGACCCTCCCCCCCCCCCCCCACCCCCACATACCCAATAAGAGAAGCACGAGCAAGGCCCCAAGATATTCTTCCAAGTACCAACTAATGTAGAATCGGAATTAAAATTTTGATCATTGCCAACTGAATGAATAAACCTCTTCCACAACATATTTCATGTCTTCCTCCTACATTTCAAACAAACGCAACAATGTAACAAATATAAAAAAGGATTTAAGTTCTGTACACTGATAATGCACACTTTTTTTGTACAGTGAATTTAACCGATAATAGCAGATTAGCTACCATTTTTATCAGACTACCAATTAATATTTGTCAAGAGTTTATCTGTAAATACCTAATAAGCGATCTGATTATGTGAATTATCAGTTATATAAACTGAAAATGCACACTTTTTTCACAGTGAATTTTAACCTATAATAGCAGATTAGCTACCATTTTTTATCAAATTACCAATTAATATTTGTCAAGGGATTTATTTGTAATTACCTAAGGAGTGACCTAATTAAATAACTACTATTACACTGTCAATGCATAGAACTTAAATAATAAAAAAATCACTTAAAACAAGCATGAATATAAATAGGGGAATTATAGATGAAAAATTACCTTATTGAGGAGGAAATTAGGATAAAGCTGCTTAACAGTCAAGTAAACAGAGCAACAGGGACAAGCTCTTTTGTTCTGTAAATGAGTGACAATGCACATGTAGCAGAAGCTATGTCCACACGCCGTGAGGAACACGTCTTTCATTATTTGCATGCATATCGGACACATCATCTCTTTGTCCACGTCCTCTTCCTTCTCCGCCGTCGTCGCTGCCAATGGAGGTGGCAAAGCTAACAATTGCTCCGATTTCGCCGCCGCCGCCCCTCGCGCTAACTCGCCGGAACTTAAATTCTCCGATTTCATTGCAGGCACGAAATCTCCCACCGAACTCTCACCTCCTTCCATCACTACAAACACACACACACACACTCTCTCTCTCGCTCTGCACAATAATAATTTGAATTTCCCGCAGGCGTGCACGTAAAATGCACGTAAACGCCTGAGTGCACGTAAAATGTAGCAGATTCTTTTATAACGGATTCAGAATTTAAAATTCAGTTGGTGCAACTTATTATTTTATGTTTCGTACGGATTAAGAAATCGGAAAAGAAGAGAAGGTTAGTGTTTGATTGTGAGGGTAGTAAGGAACCACGTCGAGTGGACGCTTAATTATAGGCCTCATTTTTTTTTAAGTAACACGTCTGAATTTCAATACACATCTGCATATCAAGATGTGTATTAAGATTAAGACATCTGAATATATTAAGATGTGTATTAAGATCATAATAGAAATAATTAAGACCGTTTGATTTTTAACATCTGAATGTATAAAATTTATCTTTATTTGAAAACTAAGAAATAAAAATTCAAATGAAATACTAACTAATCTAATATTCTATCAATAAATATATAGTTTTTTAAAATATGATAGTTGTTGGTGGTGATAGCTAACGGGTGAATGCCGACTAGAGGCGGTAGTTGGTGGTAGTTTTGGTTGATGATGGTGGTTCATGCTAGTAGCTAGTAGTGATTGGTAGTGGTGCCGATTATGATTGAGGATGGTGGTGGTGGATGGTGATGGTTAATAATAATATCGGGTGGATGTAGTAATTGTGATTGAGGAAGGTGGTGGGTGGGTGGTGGTAGGTTATAACGATAGGCAATGCCGGCTGTGGTGTTGTAGTAATTGGGTGGTCAGTACTGGTAGTTGAGGCGGATGAGTGTTGATTGTGTGTGAGAATGATGGTGGTCGGAGTCGTGGGGATAGTAGGTGGTGATGGTCGATAATAGAGGCTATGATTGAGGATGATGGTTGCATGGTGGTGGTGGTGGTGGTTGAGTATGGTGGTGGTGGTGGCATGGTGTAATGGTTGGCGGTGGCGGCAGTTAATAATGAATATGTGATAGCATCTTAATGAAATTAAGTCTCTGTTATAGATCTTAATCATACATACCTATTCAGACCCATTAAGTGGTTGTGAAGTAAAAAAACAAATACACTTAATGATTAAGATCTGAATAATTAAGATTCAGACTTTAAAAACAAACGCACTTAATATCTGAGATCTGAATGATTAAGATTCAGACCTCCATTAAGTGCAAACAAATGAGTACCTTCTAGAAAGCATATCGAGAAAGGACGGCTTGGTTTACCGCGTACATGAGAGTGTGTAATTAAGTTTTATAAAAACAGGCAGCTCGGTGCATAAAATATGTATAATTAAAAAATAGCCTGATACACAAAATATATCGTATTTATGCATTGTTCGAAAAAGGATCGCATCCTAAAGGATATAATATAGGTAATCTATTCTAATGCACATTTTAATGATTGCTCCTGTGACCTATCGGTCACACTAATGGCCCATTTGGCCATTAAATAATTTATTTTTTTCCGTAATTAGTGTTTTATCATAAAATTTTTAAACTTCACCTGAAGTTGAATTTTACAATTTTTTAAAAATTTTAAAAACTCCAAAAAACTATTTTATAAAATTTTCATTTTAAACATCATAAAAATTTAAAAATAACTTCAAATTATATTCATGTCAAATACAACTCTAATTTTAAATATCATTTTTATTTAATTTCACAATTCTTATATCCAAACGCCCACTAAATTTTTTATCGCTGCTTTTAAGACTTCCCTCCTATGTTAATCAGATCCGCGTTGAATATCTGCGGCGGTGGCGGACCTTTTGTTGTGTTTTCTTGTGAAGCTGCTCTTTAGTCGAAACTGGAAAAGTGCACTTTTTGTCGTGTTTTGTGATTTTAAATTAGACAATTACACATAAGAAAATGTAGTAGTAGTACTAAATAATTTAGTACACCTAGGAAATATTATGAAACTATGTTATTCTTTTCCATTATTCTCCTTTAACTCTTGAACCTTAGTTCCGAAGGCTTTTGCTTTTGGATTTATTGGTGCGTCTTTGTTTCAATCGTCATGTATGAGATAATTATAATGGATGTATCCAGTGGAAGTCAAGTGGTTGATACTTATTTCTTTTTGAACTAAAACTTTATATTTCTGAAGGTAAACATATTTTAATTGAAATCCAAGAAGTGCTATTAAGTACACTTTCTTTTTTAATTTATGTAGAGTAAGTTGTTGATTATCCAAATTTTAGAACGAATTTTTTGAAAAAATTTATAGTCTTAAATATATCATGAGATTTAGGCTATAAAAATGTCATCAGGAAAAATAAAAATAAAAATTAGATTATTTTCAAATATAATAAAATGTTATTCTATTAGAAACTCTCAAATGAAAATAATATTCACGTGGAACGAAAACAGTGCTTATTCTGTAAAACAAATCTAATAAATGTATTAGCTTAGACACTATCTTATCGGATCAGCCGGAGTTTATCACTTAAATATTACATCAGTATGCATCGTTTCACATATTAATTAGGTTTACTACTAACAACCGGCTGAATTATTTTCAAGCCTTATTATGTTCAATAATTTCAAAAAAAGAATATATATATA